AAAGGGGAAGAATTACTCTTATTCCTGCCCCTGTGAAATACCATCTCACTCTTGTATTATTTTCCTCCCTGAGGTTTCATCTGGAGTTGTTGCTGCTGTAGAATAATTTATTGGAGTTGTTGGAAAAACAGTGGCTCTGCCTTTAAATGATAACACTGGTTTTTTGGATGCCTGAGCTCTTTCTGCTTTATTTTTCACCTATTTAATACAAACCCCTGAAAACAATTCCAAGCCCCTCAGAGAGTCCCTGATATGAAATATTATTTATTTTATTATTTAGCAGAATAAAAGAATATTTTATTCCACTAAAGCATTAGCAGAAGTCACTTTTAAGTTTGCTGACAATACAGAATACTACAAAAATCACTGGGAAAATAATAATTAGATTCTGTGAAAACAGATTTTCTTCACACTATTGTCTTCTTTCATGGTGTTGTTAGGGTTGTTTTTTATTTTACAGAAAGCCTTTCTGTAAAACAAGCAAACAAACCCCTCCTTTCAGCTCAGGGTACAATACAGATCATGTAAAACCAGCCTTTAACTTTGGCATGGACAAATCACTTTTTGGCTGCTTTACAATGTTAATTTATGTGCTCTGTGTTGCAAAGTTAATTTTTGAATCTTTATTTCCAGTAACAGGACCTCTGTCAGAGTTGCAAATTGCTTATGTGTGCAGAGAAACCCTACAGGTAATGTACTTCTGCACAATAAAGTGTTTATTTTATATAAATAGATATAGAAAATTAGTTCAGTTACAGCACTTCTATTGGGAATCAAGCAGAAACCAATTAACCATGGTAATCTGTTATTTTCCATACTGTAAATAAAATAAAAATGACCCAGAAATTCTGGTGTGATACAGTGCAAATGTTTGCTTAAATTTTGAACTGCCTGCCCACCATGCAGAAGTAAATTTAATGATGTCTGGGGGTAAAATGCTGCAACCAGATAAATAAAATTCTCTTTCATTTTATGACTGTTGATAGCAAAGAAATACAAGATGAAGCATCCCTTATCTGCAAATCTCAAATGTCTTCACTTTCAAATAAAATAGATAGAAAAAAAATAAATTTATTAAATGGAACTGGCTTTGTAGGATGTTAAGAAATGAATAATTCATTGTGTCTTTTATTTCCAGGGTCTTGCTTATTTACACATGAAGGGCAAAATGCACAGAGATATAAAGGTAACTTGGAACCTTGAGAAATTGATCTTACACTCCCAAGTACAGGCAAAATATTCCTGGTAAATAATTTAATTAAATAAATTTAATTCTTTTTGTTTTAGGGTGCAAACATCCTCCTGACAGACCATGGAGATGTTAAATTGGGTGAGTTGCCTGAGCTTTGGAATTTGGAATCTGGAATTAATGGATTTAAAAGCCGTGTGGATGTGGCACTTGGGGACATGGGGAATGGCTGCAGTCCAATAATAATTTATAATTTATTGTTATTATTATGGTTGTTATTTTTATTATTATTGTTATTATTAATAATAATACTAAAATAATAATGATAATATAATAACAATAATAACAATAATAACAATAATAACAACAATAACAATAACAATAATAATAATAATAATAATAATAATATATCATCAAGGTCTTTTCCAGCCTAAATTATTCCATGATTATTTGGGGCAATAAAAGATGATAGAAGGTGATGACAAAGTGTGTATCCATGGCTAGGCTATGTAGGAGATGAGAAGTTTTGTATTCTATCAAGAAATTGTACAGAATTTAATTATTCAACCACCCAGCCTTTAAATCCCCCAGATTTTCTTGGAATTTTCCAAGCTGCCATTACTTGGATATCAATTTTTATCCTTGGCCAGGATAGCAGTTGGGTATATAAATGTATATATTTCTATCAAGAAATTGTAGAGAATTTAATTATTCAGCCACCCAGCCTTTAAACCTCCCAAATTTTCTTGGAATTTGCCAGGATAGCAGTTGTCCCTCAGAGTCTTCAAGGATCTCCTGTTTGGGAGAGCATCTCCAGAGCCTTGCAGGTGTGGAAAAGTGGGAATGCTGTGCTGGAAAAGGAGAGCTGTCTAAAGAAGGAAAAAATAGGAATAAAACCCTGACACTGAGAGGAGATTCCACTCCCTAAATCAGATTTAGGTACACGGTGGTACCTGCCTTTTGCCTGGCTGGATTTTCCCAAGTTATCCTCCAGCTTTCATGCCACCAATCAATCAAACCAAA